TTTTGTTCTGTTCTTGTCTGTTAGTAATTAGTAAATAAGACGTGGGTTAGTTTCTTCTCTCTCTCTCTCTCTCTCTCTCTCTCTCTCTCACACACACACATATATATATGTCTCGGTACCTAGGTATGCATTTTAATTGAAGGAGGAGTCCTCCGATCCTTAGTGCACGCTAATTCAAGTGGGTAAGTGCCACCCAGTAAGCTGGCTTTTTCTTTTTTGCCTTTTCCTTTTCCTCCTATTAATTACTACCGGCTCTAGTATAACTCGTTCGCTCGCTCGGAGACACTGGCTTATACCTTTTAGCAAGCTCTCCGGGGGTGTAAAATCATTCGGCGATAGCTAGTACGCTCGCGGAGCTGTGCCGGCATAGGTACTCCTGGCAGGCAGGCTCTCCGAGGCAAAAAGGCAGGCACGATAAGTCACATGACCCACCAACCCGCCCAGATTCCTTTTCTCGGCTTAGCTTTTCATTAAATGTAACGCTCGTACTGGCTCGTTTTCTTTTAGAGAATACAAAATTGTGACTGTGGTTATGTCGTGATGAGCTAGTTCTGGAATGAACCGGCTCTGTTTTCGCAAATTCAATTGTCGAAACAATATAGAACAACAACGGAATATCGATATTTACAATAATTATTCAGTTAGTTGACGTATTAGCACGCGCGCCGAAAACGCGAGCCTAAGAACTAGTCAGACAGCTCAAGGCCTATTGGATAGGGCCTTAAGCTGTCGACCTCGAGCCGCAAGTGCCAAGCCAGGAAAGCTTAGAAATAGTCGACAACCCTCCGTAAAAGAAAGCGAAAGCAGATCGCGATCCAGAAGTAAAGTAGTCCAGATTGATAGCCCATGACGAACGTCACCAATGTATATAAAAAGCATGCGAGATAGGTCCGTAGTTCAAAGTGGGAAAGGCTAGGCTCAATCCAGCATAAACAAAAATCCATTGCTAAGCGAGTACCCACCGAAACCGTTCGAGAGCTAACCTCATCGTATAATGCAAAGGCACGACATCCGAGCCGTACGAATACAAATCCATTCCGTATTCTCTCTAATATAACGCTTTGCCTTTGCCCTTGTCGATCTTCTTATTGCTTTCTTTTCTGAGCTTGTCGGCTTTCGAGGCGGGCTGGTTGGATAACTTGGCGGGATTGCTGGGACTAGCCGACGGAGTACCTGCGCGACTAGTCTTTTGGTGAGACCCAGCTTGAGAACGAGGCTTTGACGGGCCTGCCTGCTGCTGTGTGGTGCCTGTCCTGCTGCTACTTTGTCTTTCAACCGATTCAGGTTCATCTTCAACTTCATCTCCATCATCATTATCAGACGCAGGCGACACCAAAACTCTGGGGCCCGATGGGATGACCTTGTTCTCACGCTTATCGTGACTGAGGAAGCCCGCGTACTCTCTTGACGTGTAACTGGTATCCCACGAGGCAATTCTCCTCCGTACAGCCGCGTCTTCTCTTTCCTTCTCTAGAGCCTCCTCGGCCTCCTCCTTCTCTCGCTCCTCGGGGCTCATGATCGCTCTGGCCTTCTCACGAGCCATCCGCTGATCAAACGCCAGATAGTCCGGGTCGTTGTAATAGCTATAATGGTCCGGACCCAGGCCCTGACCCATGCCAAACCGCTCCAGGTACTCGTCGTCGTTGAACTCGAGAGTCGGGTGCGGGCCCTTCCCACCCCGCGCCCTCTTCCGCGCCATCGACGCTTCCCGCAAGAGCTGAGGGGCGGCCGCGCCTTCGCTCGCCTCGAAGCCCTCCGTCTGCTTCGCCGGCGCCGGGCCAAAGAACTCGGCTTCGGTCTGCGGAGTGCACCGCACTGGCCGCATACCCCACGCCACCCACTCGTACGCGTGGACGGTGTCGCCCTGCTCCGTACAGCCGCACTTGCCGAGGCACGGATCGGGCGAGGTCGAGGTCGTGAAGATCCAGCCCTCCTGGGTGACCTTGATCGGCCAGACCTGACGCCTGCGCGTCGTGGGACACCAGTCGTACGCGGGCATGCCCTGCGGGTGGCAGGTCCTGTCCCGGTACTTGACGCAGCCGCAGGCCTTGACGATGCGCTCTATGATGCACATTTCTTGTCGCTGGATCTGTGGAATCTGGATCTGTGGAGTCGGGATCTGTGGATCTGTTTCTGTTTCTGTTTCTGGGGCAATTGACTGGAAATGAGGATTCCCCCTTTTGTTATTTCTTCTTTTCCTTTAGATGCTGTGTAACAATGAAGCCGGCTGAAATTGATATTTGACGGTAGGACAAAGAGCCTGTAAGTTCGGTCGTGTGAGGTGAGGAGATAAGCGGTCCTGGTAGGACCTGTTTGAAGAAGAACGAGTGGAGGTAAAGATGGTCGATACGGTTCAAATCGAGGTCGGTACCTGTACCGGATTTAAATACATGGAAGAGGCTGCCAAAACTTCATGCCTGAATCACACCGTCGGCGTTCTTGTCACTTGCTTTTGAACTCCACTCTGGAATCGCATTAAACGCTTTCGCTCTCGATCTGTCTTCTAATCATTAGTGAATACGTCGCATGAGTTTTGTCGCTGTTGATTCGGCTCCCTTCTACTTGTACAATTACTAGCCAGCTCCTCATGCATGGAAAAACCCCTTTTCGCACCAAACCAAGGGCCAACACTTTGAAAAGAATCAGCTCTAGCCGGAGTTTAGCCATTGCATCTTCGGCGAGTTAGTCAAATCAGCCATCGAGCTTCAATTTCTTCAATTTAATAGATGTAGATGCAACAGATAGAGCTCAATGTCGTTCTCTTTCCTAAATACCTTTTTGAGCCTTTCCGAAGTTTGCGGGGTTGAACGCCTACTGTTAAGCGAAAGCCAACTTCCTGTACTTTCTGCCTCAATCAACCCTATGAATTAATGGAACAAAATAAGATCGGCTTATAGTAGTAGGCTATTCCATTTTTGTTAGGGAGTTTAAGAATTTAGTTTGCCTTTCAAAGCTTATGGTTGTAGAAAGTTCAAGCTGTCAAATGTACGAGTTCTGGTGCAAAATAAACGTTTATGCATTCGCAGTTCCGCCGGCTCATGGCTTCACTTGAGGAACTAGATGAAGGTTTACCCTCTATTCCCTACGGGCGCTCCTGGTTCCCTTGCACCGCATGCGCAATGGGGTACGCGATCATCAAGAGCTTTACTCTCTCCCCGTGGACTAGAAATACTTCCGTTCTCTTCGAGTCCCCTCGGCTCATTCCGTCCTGCGTAAATGAGGGCGCTACTACCGTCTAGCGATCTCCCTGCCGTCCCACTTGTTCATCACCCAGTAGACCAGCATCATGGCTTTCCTCCTCCAGCTTCTTGACCACTGCAGGCTTCCCCCTCTCCAGGCCAGCCAGGCGCTCTTGCCCGTCCACGCTCCACCTCCATCCACGACGCCGTCTTTGCGACCGATGTATGCTACCAAAGCCTTTTGCTCGTATTGAAATCCTTGCCCCTTCACTTGAGCAGCCCTCGAAGATCCGAACGCGAGCTCGTCGTCGGCAGAGTCGATCAGGTGCTGCGCCAGCCATTTGGCTTTCTGTACGGCCACTTCCGCCGTCGCGGGCAGCGAGTTCCCGTCGATACCAGCCGCATCACCCAACGCGTAGACACCTCTAACGGCCCCATCTCCCTGCCCGTCGCCGAGGACCCTCAGGTGTTGATCCGTGACCAGCATCCCTTTATCATCTTTCCTCACACCCTTCATACCCTCCACAAGCCCGGACGTCTTATTGCCCGCTGCCCAGACCGCCACTCCAAAGCCCACCTCCCCGTCCTCCTTGACGGACATGACCCCCTTCTCAAATCCCTGAATGTGCCTACTCATCCTCACATTGACATCCCTCCTCCGAAACTTCTCCATCGCATACTCGCTCAGCTTCTCCCCAAACTGCCCGAGCATCCGATCCGCAACATCATACACGCTAATGCTCACCAGGTCCCTGCAATCCGGGTAGATCTCCAACAGGTGCCCATGCACCAACTCGTCGAGCTCAGCCGCCAGCTCGACACCCGTCGGTCCCCCGCCCACAATCACGAAATGCAACAAGTCGCGCCTGCGCCCCTCCGAGAAACCCGGCAGCGACGCGAGCTCGAAACAATCCAGCACCCTCTCCTTCAGCGCCATTGCATCCGACACGGATTTCATAAACAGGCAGTGTTCCCGCACCCCCGGCGTGCCGAAGGTGTTAACCTCGCTGCCCGGCGCCACGACCAGCCGATCAAAACGCACGTCAAAGGTCCCCTGGCTGCCGCCGTCGCTCGGCCGCTCGTTCCCGTTACTCCCCACCGCGGGTCGACACGTCAACGTCCTCCCTCGGAGATCCACGTCCTCGACCCAGACCTGGTACTTTTGGATGGCGGCGCCTCCGCCTCCGCCTCCGCCTGCGCTGGATGCGTGGCGGCCCATCATCCCGATTCTCCGGACCGGTTCTTCGGCGACGCGGAAGTCGAAGATGCCACATGCCGCGCTGGCGAGGAGGGGTGTCAGCGCCATGGTGCGGGCGGGTGAGAGCACGATGACATTGTGCGTTTTGAGAAGGGAGGAGGCGGACAGTTCTTGCAGGAGAGTGAAGCCTGCCCAGCCGGTACCGAGGACGGCCAGAACGGGCCTATTCCCTGGCCCGCTCGCTGAGATCGTGGAGACGGACTCTGACGGCGCGGCGGATCTTTCCGAGCGGCTTGTTGGCGCCATGTTTGGGCGGCGGTCGCGGATCTTGGGGAGTGCTGGGAAGAAGCTTCTGAGTTGTTGTCTTGCTGATGATTTCGGACAGTGGAAGGTTGTCAAGCTTGCTTTTTGATTCTGGAGGTGAAGGTTTCCACACCTCGTCGATGAGGCGCGTCGACTACTAATAATGTATATTTCAGAGGCTTTTCCTGATCCTGATCTGGGCCGGAAGGTATATCCACAAGTCCTAACCAATATGGCTTTTGACATCACACGACAGAACTCAACGTAATCTATGAAAATCCAAGAAGGCGAATATCATTATAAAGAGATAGCAAGAAAAGACAATGACATGATGAGAAGAGGTGATGTGGATTGAGACAGAACATGCAGCCCAGCCCCTGAATATCTCGGCTAAGGTACTGACGGCATTGACATTGGCTAGCGGTGCGGCGCATCCAGCCTTTGACGGCGAGCAATATACATAGAATTCAATAATTTCTATACCCAAATTCGTAATCAGGCGCGTCGATTTACAAGCCACACGAACATATTCCACTGTAATCTAGCAGTATATTTAAATAGCCATGTGGATGTTCTGTCACATGATATCACATGACTTGCCTTCCATGGGAAGTCTGCGGTTCCTCCAAGGCCTGTGTATATTCCTCCACGATACCTGGGTAGGGAGGGATACATCTCGCCAGCGGCCATCTATATTCAAATTAAACCAAGCTATAATTCTAAAGACATAAGTAAGCGGCACCACGATAGGGGCACGAACACAACTCAGGGCCTAGAGCAACTTCTCAGACAGGAGGAGAGATAAAAGGATATCGGAATCAAAGTTAACAATGCAAAGGGCATAGAGAAATTGTATTCCAATAGGCCAACATGTTTCAAGGGCAATTCTTGATCCAATGACACTCTTCTTTTAAGAAAGACTGCAAACGGGAAATGTATATATGTGATCTAAACATGTAGATTGAACAGCTATTCACGGTATCTACGTAGCCAC